AAAAAAACGCGCGGAAATATTCTTCCTTGTATTTACTGGCAAATCATGTCTTCTACAAAGTTTATGATTGAAAAGGATTGATTTGGGTTTCGAAAGGGTTTTTTCGATTCCCGACGGCGTTTTGAGCACTATGTGCTATTTTCCTGGTGAAATGGACGGATGCATGGCTTTCCTTACATAGAAGGTATGTAGTTTGTAGCTTGCAAATTTTAAACCTAAATGCACCGGCAGATTGATCGCAAATTTGGTCCGTTTTGAAACCTATATGTACCCCTTTCAAATAAACAATTTGATAAAAGCGTTTTTAGTTGCCCAATAAGCACAAGAAAAAAGGTGTTTCTACGGATTTTTTCTGTGAAAAGTATTTTTATCTAAAAGAGCATCGAAAATCTGCAGAAAAATACATACTTCATGGGTGAGCATTTTTCACCAAGTGTGGTTTCTACAGGCGACTGAAAAGAAGTTCATTCAGAAGCCGACACCCTTACGTGCTGCTCACGGAACGCTTCTACGGAACTCATTCGTCCCATTGTGCCTTAGGGGCCCTCTCTCAAACCCAACTAGTAGCCGCACAGCGGCTAATGATATCAGCAGAATGCTTCACTGTGCGGCTGCTGGTTGGGCTAGAGAGAGAGATCCTGTAAGGCACAACGGGACGAGTGAGCTCCGTAACACGATCGGTGAGCGCTGCTCCACCATTGTTTATCGCAACCGACAGGACAACAAACCCGTGGCTCAGTGGTTAGAGACGTGAGATTTCCAACCATCAGGTCGCTGGATCGAGTCCTAGGTGTTCCACACTTCGAGGTTGGATATGGCGGGCTGACAACGGCTAGTAAGCCGGAAATGGCCATTCCCGTCTTCTTTGTCTTTGTCGATTATACCATTCTACACTCAATATTACAACCCCACCTAAGGAGTTCTTCGCAACCGGATACGCTTTTTAAAATTTCGGTTAACATTTCATGAGATTCGTCACTGACCGTAAGTGGATGGATTTGCATTGGAGGGACAACTAGCATATCGTGTTAAGGCAAAATTCCACGCGTGACTGTGTAACTGTGAAAAAATTTGATTATTTTTGTCTGGCTGAGAACAATCAGGCACGGCAGCGAGCATTGATCGGTTGCCAGAAACTGGGACATTACAGGCACACAGGAATCCGGTACATCTTTCTTTGAAGATGGCACTATACCAAAGGTCACCTATTTGCATCTGCTTACAGAGAGATCTGCCCCACACGAAGGGCACATTCTGGCATTTGCAAACATAACTCGAGTGACCTCTATGAGATCCCATCGACGGTCGTCTTGTTAATTAACCCTGAGGAGTACTGATTTGGAGAATTTCAACTGGCCGTCCTTTTTTAAATTCGTTCTCTTAGTATTCTGACCTCTTTAGCTGCTGCTGCTGCTGCTGCTGCTGCTGCTGCTGCTGCTGCTGCTGCTGCTGCTGCTGCTGCTGCTGCTGCTGCTGCTGCTGCTGCTGCTACTGTTGCTACTGTTGCTGCTATTGCTGCTACTGCTGTTGTTGTTGTTGTTGTTCTCTGATACACTTTGAACAGCATCAGACTTTTCCCACTGAGCTAGACGAAACCCTCCCGCTCTTCCGCACGTGTCTGTCCATCCGATGGGAAAGTGCTGAATATCAGTGGATTTCGAGACTTCTGGCGACACTGCTCATTCCTCATCTCTGTCATTATACGAGCAGCCCTCCACCATACTCACCGCCTTGTGCAACAGTGACTGCGCGAGATGCAGGGCGCCCGCACGGCTCGCAAAGTCGTGGAGGCTCAAAGAACGCGGAGCGCAACGAAAGGAAGAACATCTCCGCAATCAAAGCCGTCTACGATCCGACAACAAAACGTACTGCACCTCCTTTCAGCGCCGACGGCAGTACCCTACTAACTGAGAAGACACAGATTCTATGGCGATGGGCCGAAAACTTCAGAGGCGTCCTTGACCGCCCCTCCACCACCACCGACGCCGCCATCACCCGTTTGCTGCAAGTGGAGACCAACGCTGACCTCGAGCTACCGATCTCTCTCCTTGAAACCATCAGGACCGTGCAGCAGCTCTCCAGCGGGAAAGCATCCGGATCTGATGCAATCCCTGATGAGGTCTACAAGCACGATGGCCCCCAACTCATAGATCATCTGACGGCACTCTTCCACGCAAGCGGAAAGTGTACATCTCGGCCCTTTCACTGTTTGGTTCTCTTGATTCAAGTGTGATCGAAATCTGAGACGAAGGCGGTTCGTCGAGTGCCGTGGTTTGGAAGGCAGCCGACTGTGGAGAGTGTTAGAAGGGGTGTACTTCATGGGTAGTGCCACCGAGTCTACGACTGTTTGGTAACCTAACCTTGAAGAATGACGGCCCAGGCTAAATGCGGGACCAAGTGTCGCCCTTATAGATCGAAAGGTTTGAAAGTGTCTGCTATGCCAGGATTAACGAACCATGGCCCCCGCAGCCTGGTATGCGCTGGCAGTTCCCTGACACTTGGTTCCCTGCCGCTAGATGCGCTTGCGCTCCCGCTGGGTATACAGGTCATGGGCATGGCTGCCCAGTCATCATCCTCGTTCTTCTGACCCCCGTCGGGGTGTTGTTGTTCTTGTTGATTTTGTTGCTGCTGCTGTTGTTGGTCAAAAACCTGGTCATTGGCTGTGTGGACTTGAGGGTGTGGATTGGAACGCCAAGGTGCGGACTCGACCGTGTCACCCACCTGCGCCCTCCTTCCACCTCCGGTCTTCTTGACTCAGTCTTGAACCCGGGCACAGACGGGGAGTGGGGAGGAGAGATTGCGGTAGATGTTGCGCAAGTCTACTATCTCTATAAACTAATTCACGTGCAAGTCACCGTGCCTGCTGCACCTTGCTGTGTAGCACACGGTGGACATCGTCGAAATCGACTGTCAAACTGTAGATTATACGAGCATAGGGAGGTACTCCCAAAAAGCCAGTCAAGGAAAAAAGACCAGTCAGAGATCTTTCGTCAGGAATACCTGTGCACCACAAGCCACGTACGGCAGAGTCCAGAAGATTCCCGACGTCCATTTGAGGACTGCAGCAAGTGCGTTCAAACATCACTCACGCAAAATTGTTGATGGTTGAACATGGGACCGCGTGCGGAAGACGAAGCAGTCCTGTTTACCTTGACTGAGTGGCCTTTCAAGTAGAAGTACTGACCTTCATCCCTCATTTCCGAAAATATGCTGGGTCTTACTAGAAACCACGTGCACCGGCCCCGGCTGTGTCTTGCGTGAATGCATCAGCACGCCCTCAACAACGTCTCGCCATTGGCCGCGGCCATAGTGCTTCTTTGAAACCTGACTGGTTCATGTCTACAAGACGTTGCTTAGCTCTCCTAGCCCTTTTCGATCAGGTATGGTTATGTGGCCCCACCTGAAGTAAACAAACCCCAGCCACCTGTAATACGGGACCGGTGGTAATAGGAGTTTTTATAGGCGACGCTGGAGAACACACAGGCGACGAGGTCAGGCAGGTGTATGCAAAAGAAAAGCTGTTGGGAACGCGCGGTTGTACTTTGAGTGGCTGAGAAATAGTTGTCCTAACCCCTAGTCATAACCCCTAAGCCTTAACCATAACCTCTAACTCAAACCCCAACCCAACAGTATTGTGTCCACCAGGTGGGGCTACATAACCGCATCTTGACCCCTTCCCATGTAAAGTAGAACAAACAGGATTCTAGCTAGCCTGAAGGGGATGCAACAAGTACATGCATGTTTTGCAGGTTTCTATATATTTGCCGTGACCGGTCGTGTTTACTTTCTCTGCCGTGTTGATGATTGGGACAACAATCGAGCACACATACAATCCGTGTTGTTTGTAAGTATCAGATCAAGTTATATCACTTTCTTCTTAAAAATTTCGTCCACAGAACTTCTGGCAACTTGTTATCATCTCTGTGAGCGACTGATAGTTGTACACTCTATTTTAGAATAAATTTTATGGACAGCGACCTTTGGCATGCGATTGTCCTCCCTAAAACCTTTTTGGGTCTATACTGTACACTTTCAGTTTGCAGAAAATGTCGAATGCTTTCAGGCATTTTCGTTTTTAATGGACACACTTCCCAAACCATTTCGAAGTGTTAGCGTGGCCGTATTTCGTCAAGTAACTGGTTTCTCGTGATTAATCATCAAAAATATCATCTTGGGAAATCAAGGCGGGTGCTTTATTGACCACGTTAATCCTGCCAAAGTTCCCAAGAGGACTCCCTGTATTACCAGGGTTCTTAATATCCATGTCTGATGCAACAGCTTCCACCAGACGGTTGGTTCAACTTAACGACGTAAAGAAAGTAGCGGACTTAAAAGGATGGCTTTAGTCAATATCTTACCCCAGTAGAGTGTCCTTGAGGCAAATTATTGTTTTTAGGGTCACGGAGGGGCTAAGGTGCTTCTCTTATGGATTAACACGTTTAAGTATGAAAAAACTAAAAGTTGCCTACTCCGTTTGTGTGTCCGGTTTTTTGAGTTGAACCCCTGAGATGTCAGTAGCGTTCAGCCAGTTTAATACTCGCATTTTAACCGGTTTGCACAACGAGTCACCACGCCTCAAATGCTCAGAGTATTTTTGTCAGTCCGCAAGCAGCCAAGGGCAAACGTATGAGCAGTGAAAATACAAAAGTCGGTTGATCAAGGTGTTAACTTGTCTCTTCGTTTGATACATTATGTTCAAAGTTGGAGAAAACTTCACATTAGGAAGGACTTAACCGGACTCTCAAAAGGGCCCTTCTAAGGCACACACGCACTCACACACACACACACAAACCAACCATCCGGTGAGGAGATTGGGTGGTGTAAAGTGTTTTTGAGGGCTTGGATGGGAGCACAGAGGGACAGAGAGGTGGGTGGGCAACTCGGCGCGGACGGCCCTGACAAAGCGCTCCGTGTCCCATCAAGCAAAATGCTCCACAGGAAGGTTAATAAAGACTGACAGGCATTCCTAGCACATCTGGTGTGTGTGCGAGAGAGATCGATCAGGTGTGGGTAAATATGTACATGACGAGGGCAGAGATGCCTGCTGAGACGGGCAGTGTTACAACCCAAGCGATGATGATGTTGATGAAGAGTTTCCAGTTGACATCCTCTTTCGCGCGTGCACGGCCAACAACAACTATGGAGCCCACTTTGCAGTGCGTGGTGGAGACTGGAATGCCAACTTTACTGGCCACCAAAACGGTCACTGCGGAACCGAGTTCAATGCATACACCGCTAAAAAAATCCGAAATAAAAACACAGGTGCTTAGACTCGAAGAAACGCCATCTATTACGTGCTATATTGTGAGTACCTATTGAATATAAGTTTAAATAAGGAATCAACTATTAAAGTGCTGACTAGAATTCAACAATTGGGGAACCGTTTTGGTTCTGGAGTCAGGTACTGAACTCGCCAGGATACTACTTAAGTAGCATGCATCTTTCCTATTAATTTTCAATGGTCCTATAAATTCAAATATATTTTAAGGAGGACACGCACAAAAGATATGCTTTCTTTTGCTCATTTGGTAGGAAATCACATTATCTTGATAGTTTATGCACGAAGAAAGTGTGTACTTAGGTTTTAAAAAAGCTTCCCAATTCTCGAATAATTTTCAGCCTGATCTGCCATTACGTCAGCGTTTGGCAATTCCAGTCTACAAGGTGCATGCCTTCCGCGTGAGGAGAATCATCTATTACCCTATGCCCTTAAGAAGATACCACATAGGGTTCATGAAATTTTGCATTGGATCCGGACTGTGTTGTACATTTCATGAGGAGCAATAGTAAACGGACATGTGCGGTCTTGCACGCATGAACATCGCGCGGTCTTAAAAATCTCATAATTAAAATCTTTTTTAAAACCTAAATACACACTTTCTTCGGGCATACAATATGAAGACATTATGGTTTCCTACCAAATGAGCGAAAGAAAGCATATTTTGTGCATGTTTTCTATAAAATATATTCAAATTTATAAGACAATCGATAATCAATAAGAAAAATGCATGCCACTTAAGTAGTCATTTTTACCCAGTGTAGTTTCTGCAGGAGGTCAAAAAGAAGTGCATTCAAAAGCCAACAACCTGGTGAGTCCGAAATGTTATAGGGTTATGCTACAGGATAATCAGTATAACAACCCCACGTAAGTAATCATTCCTAATCGGAAACGCATTCTAGAATGTTGGCCAACATTTCATGAGATCGGTCACTCACCATAGTTTGGTACGGAAAACCGGGCTCCTATGTAAATGATTTCAGCCTCGCAAAGCGGAACCGCCATAGTCGGCAGTCAAAGTGCCCGGTTTAGCTGTTTTAAGACTGTCCGCATTCTTCCAATGACGCGCATAAACAATAAAGTTAACGAGTATACAATAAAATCGAAAAAAGAATTCATTCTCATGTCCATACAGACCCATAGCGTCCTCGACTACGGTCTTGACGCATGGGCGAGAACTTCCTGAATTCCAGTTCACAGGGCACTTAGAAACGAGACAGAACGCAAATTATAAGAGAAACCTAACCAAACCTAACGGGACTGTCGCTAATTTACCAAATTGTCGGGTCTTCTGTCAATTGAATACTGTTAACTCTACTTGACTCTATGATTAGTGTTCCCATACGCATATGTCATTTCATGTCTCCCCTTGCCCAAGCGAACATTGAGGCTACGTGGAAAAACTGGTTGCATGGGCTTGAGAAGAACGTGTGCGGCATGTTCCCTGGAGACAGATACCATTATGCTAGCTAACTCGCCCCATGCTTATTAGGTTACAGTGGCCTATTTCGGCTAATTTATGCATATATTCGCCTCTGAGGGGGTTCCTGATTCACAAGCATTGTCTAGGTGTAGCACGTGATTTATGCCCGATTTATGCCTTTGTAAGGGTAGTAAACAATTAGCAGACATTTTGCATATGTAAGACTCAGCTTACAACTGCTGTGACAACCTAGAGTTATTTTCTCCATCCAGACAAAATCATCGAATTATTTTCGGTTTAGGTTATTTTTACCAAAGAGTCAGAAAATACTTGTTTATAAGAACTAAAAAAATTGATAACATCTCTTAAGCAAATAAGACTGCCACAGATCCTTGTAAGACCCAAAAGACAATTCAATACCTTGATGCTGCTCAACGACCATGACAACTCGGCAGTCTCTCGCTGTTTCCTAACTATGAAAATTAACTGTTCTCATAACGGGTAAACTTAAATTCCACATGTTGTTTGCTAAGTCGCCTAGAAATCTTTTTTAATACAAATTAGTCAGAGGGCGGATAAAATAGGTGTGACAAGGTGTAACAAACCTGGAGGGAGTGATTGTAGTCAGGTCCTCACCGATTGTCTGGATCACTTTTCGACCCCAAACCCAGAGGCCAATGGATATTCCAACACCCCCATAGACTAGGAGGAGAACGGGTGTCATTTTTTCAGTTACGACCGAGCCGGTAGTCGTCACCATCCACAGTCCAATCAGGGGCCCTATGGCATTACTGAAAGCCAATGAATGTTTCAAAATGTACTTCTGAACTCAAGCACGGCATATGAACTAAAAGCATACACGGACATTCTGATTTTCCTTATTGAAGCTAGTATTCAAATTTTCCGTTACCTGCGGGTTGTTTGCTAGCAAGCATCTTGAGCCTCGCGTCTCACTATATATGTTTGACACATCAAACGGAAATGCTGAGTAGATGGATAAATGCGTTTTTGGGTTTATTCTCTCGTCATCCAGACCAGCTGTAAGCCCGTCGATCATATTGATATTTTTGGCTGCGTTTTCTCCAAAACAGTTATTTAAAAAGTGGCTTTTGAGCTATAAATGTTTGTTTATATGGGGCCTGTAGTCTTATATTTACGGAGTTCGCAGACCTCGTTCAGAAATGTGCCGTAAGACACTTTTCACCATTATTCTAACTAGTGGGATTCCTCTGTCTAAGATGAGGGGGAGTTTGATATGGGTTTCGCAAAAAGCGCATAGGAGGTACCTCGTAAATCTTAAAAAACCTAAACACCTGGTTTGTCTGGCCAATAATAAGCGGATAATCAAACTCTATAATTCAAAAAGTGCTACGCCAATAGTTTCGCTAATTTTTCGACCTTTTGTTGTAAATAGTATTTACTTAAGTGTAGCAGTCAAACGAAGCGTAGTGATTTTGCCGCTTATTAAAACCAAAGTAGGCGGTTGGAATAATACTAATTTAAATGTCAGTCGGGCAGCAGTATTCTGTGCGTATCAGTATTACAAACCAGCCAAGGGAATTCCTTTACTTCAGGGGAAGACCTAGGGTTCTCTCAAGGATTGGCGAGGCTGCAGTGACTCCTCTTTTAACCCAGTCTATATGGCACTTCAACTCAGAGGGACTGCAAACCGCCCGATTTGTTTCTGTGAAAACCTGGTCCCAGACTAGGGTGTGTGTGGCACGCGTAGACGGTCCCTTGCTCTATCAACTACTGCCCCAACCCTCCTTTGGTGCTTTTGACTCTGTCTTGCCACCGGGCTCAGGCTGATGAGAGAGGAGACAGCGCGGCAGATGCTGCGTCACTCTGCTATCACCATAAACTAATCCACGCGCAAGTCCGCGTCCTGCGCCCATCTCGTCCTTGGACACCCGATGAGCATCCTTGTTCATTACGCTCGAACCGAGTTGCACGAACAGAACAAGCCGCTGAAGACCGTCTGATGCATCGCAGCCTGATAGGTTATCAGTGGTTAGCAGACCGCACCGTCTACTGCTGAAAGGCCCTTACCCTGAACCCAAAGAGTCCGTCTTCACTCTGTCTCTCTCCCTCTCTCTTTCAAAAGAATATATGCATATATGCCTACCTCACGTCATTGCCGCCATGCACAAAGGAACCGAAAGTCGCGGTGAGGATTTGTGCAAAGGAGAATACTCGGGCCTCCTCGGGACGGTCCTTGACGAGCACTCGACTGGTTTGCTAAGGCAAAAGATAAGTATTTGATTACCCCTATTAGTAACTTGATTCTGATCGTTAAGGCATTACATAGGACTGCAACGTGAAATTTAAGGGCAGATACGGTGTTTAAGGGAGAATTCCAAAAGCCTCCTTATAAAGGAAAATAAGGCATTTTAAGCCAAATTTTAGTGCCAAGACAAATTAAACGACAACAAGCCGGTACACCGGGATGACTCGTCCGCAAAATTGCTCGCGCTCGGCTACAAAGTCAATGTGCCCACCTACCCCTTTGTTCAATGCGTTTATTGGCAAGAGACGCTTGACCGTCTGCCCTCCTGTGAAGTTAACTAACTTGTCTGTCAGAAATCCTTAAGATTTGTTAGACAACCCGGCTGGAAGTGCATTCGCGAAAGCATTTTTCATATGTGTCATTATGGGTCTATACGCCCACGCACAATTATTGTGGAAGATCATACTACTCATGTCCTTGCGAGATGTATTCAACGGCGTTAGTGGGTAGTGCAAGGTGACCTGCTAATGAACTTAGCCTACGACTAACAGACATACCAGCCATCTTGACCCTGGTTTTGTGAGATTTCCTCCAGAAATCTTAACCCCCACTTTGTGCTTAAAAATTGACACAGGACGTTTAAAGTAGTAGAAGGAACAAGTTTTCGTTGGGATAATAAGGACGTGCATGCAAATCGTCGCACTCCACTCCAAATTGTTTGAACTTACAGTGAGCACATCGTCCTCGATTCCTTGATCCTCCATTTGATTGTCATCCCTTGTCGGACTTCCAGGATGGGAGTCCGCGCCAATTGAGTCTGCGTCAGCAAACACAAGGGAGGGGGAGGTTACGGCCACATAACACAGGGGGAGGTAGAGCAGATAGGAACTGTCTTAACCCTTCTAACCAAGCTAATGTCAACAGCAAATCTGCCAAAAAGTTAAAACCCACCAGTTACTCTTTTCTCTGGCGTTTCGCGGTCAAGTAGCGTAGACTCGGAGGCCAGTGACCGCTGGAGGTCGGACTTGGCAATATGCTCATCGTGACGTCTGACGGCTTCCTGCATTGCCTCATCGCTCGCAATAGTTTGTACTGGAAACCGATTAAAATGCAATAGGTAATGTATTTAAAGAGGCACTTGGATGAAGTCCTTATTGCCTGGGGACTAAAATTGCCTGGAATAAGAAAAAAGTGCGTCCGAACATAATGATGCACCCAGATAAACAGAAGACAGTACAAATCTGAAACAATTGTCGAACCGTTATACTGCTTCAGCACTGAAGACCATGAACCGTTGCTGCAACCTTTGCCGCACCTTATTATCTGTTAGAGTGGCTGAGTGAATGCATACGGTAGACATTTGAAGCTGTTAAGTATTCGGATTCACAACAGGACGTTTATTTTACAACGTTCAGTTAAAAATCCTGATCACTGAGGGCATGGCAATCCTTAAAATACGACAGATTGGGATAAGAGCTCTTCCCCTTAGGCCGGACATGGAGACAAAAGTCACTAGTAACATGCAGTCGGTGTTGGAATGAGTAGTTGTGTTTTGGAGTGAGGCAGGCGTATGGTCATGTTCCCGCAATGCTCACTCCTTTTTCATGAGAGAGAAAAGCCCAACTCGAGGAGTAGTCGCTAGACTTCATGCTGTCGTTGCACCTCAGTGTGCATAGTGGAAGCAAAAAATAAGGCCACTTTGACGGTGGATGACGGCAGGAAGCTAAATATGGTGAGTCAAAAAAGAGTGTGAAGGTCCGAACGTTGATCAAATTGACGTTTACTACTGTATGAGGGGGTGTAAGTTGCTAATCAACGGCCGACACCAGTCCGCTATAGACGACACAGACAGTCAATAGTAATAAATAGGATTAAGTGAGTCTGAAAGATGAGAGGACATACAGCTGTGCGCACCTCCCGTACTCACAATTAGTGAAATATTGACCACAATGACTCAGTGACCGCTGTTCAGAGACAGCGTCGCACTCAACGGACAGTAAGGCTCGAGGAGCGGTTATCACACACGCCTTCCAGAATTAGTCTATCCCCTTGGACAGCCTCCTCAGCACTGCCACACTGAAGCATATTGATTGTTTGCGAACAGGAGTAGTGATCTGCCAGAAATGGGATCAGGCTAATAAAGCTCTTGTCCCGGCGATCGTGCCTTCTTCTTCAAGACTGCTTCCTGGGACTCGCCTTTTCGCTTCTATTAGAAATGGGATCACATTATACCGCAAAAATAGTACTGCTGGGAGCGCATACCTGCTCCAATTTCCACTCGACCTCTACTATGACGTCGACCTTCCCGGGAGAACCGACTTTAAGTGCAGCACCTTAATCAACAGTCTTCTCCACAGACGGAAACAAGCACGCTTATATTGGACAACAGAACGGGACTCTGCGCTGGCTTAAATATAGGATGAAAGCTAAAACCGGGTTAAACCATCTCTTAGGCACGCTTGAATTCCACCTGGAGCACTTCATGAAGTCTTTTAGAGTGCTATTACATGAAAAGGTGCTGAAAACTCCCAAGCGCTAGATGCAAACACCGTAGTGCTCTTCGCGTCTATTGGTAGTGCTCTTAGTCTCCATCAACGAACTTTCTAACTAGCAGGAAGTGCCTGCCCCGCTCTAGATCATGGAGAGTTCAGGGAAGTCATCTGATTTTCCTCGAACCAGCTAGTGAATATTTGCCGCCTAATGATAGTTCTGGAGGAAATTGATTTTTCAAGTTTGGTGTTGAAAATATTGTATATTGCGGTTTTTAAAAAGTCTAATAGTATATTATGCATTGTTGGATTTTTTGTAGTGCGAACTTTGCTTTTATTCTGTATGTTTCCATGCCGTCCTAACTGAGAGAGACTGACATGAGTGCACAGCGAATATTTAAATTGTCCGAGGTGGGAATGCTGATCAAGGTCGAACGGCACTTTATATCGAGTAAATAATTTTGGAACGACGGTTATCTCTGCAAAACGATCGGTTTCTCCTATGATCGCGTGTTATCCTTCCAAATATGATCAGTCAGGATGACTGGGAGGGTTCCTAACTTGAGAATTCGTCCGATCAAAAAGCTAGGACGTATTCATACTGATGGATGTGTATTTTTGACCTGAGGACTAACATGACAGCATTATTATGGAGTTTGCCCGGCACAATAAGGATTTACGCTACTTATTACTGCATGTCTACATGTGGGAAGAACGGAAAGGGTTTTGCTGATAAAGGCGTGGTTTTCACACAGAAAATACAAGGAGCAAAATGGGAATTTACACCCGTCTCTTATAATGCTCCATTTAAACTCTTTCTCGCTTCCACTTAGCGAAGGTCGTCCTAATGCGAAAATGGGCTTAAAAGAAAGTGACACCACAGGTTGGATGAACTATTTGGAGTCTGATAATGGTGCTATCACGAAGGCTCGTCAAGAGACACTGGAGTTACGATTCTGCTACCCTCAGAATGTCTCAGGAAAGTACTGAGGCTTTAGTTTTTAACAAGTTTCTTAAATTCAAACTGTTAATAAAGGCAAAGCACTTATCTAGAGGAACCATATAAACGTAGGTATTTACGGTTACGTATAGTAAAAGGGTTAACAGATACCTGAAGGAGCAGCCTACAACGACGACTGTCTCAGTTCCTGGTTCTGAAACCTACCCAAGATATATTCCTCGTTCGACTTAAATTTTTATTGAACACAAACTCGGATAAGGAACTTCAGCCGGTACGAATTAATAGCGCCATATACAGTCGCTGACCGACGTTTTGAGTGCGTACTCGCCTAGGAAGGACTATTTAATTGGGGCCGAGATATTAATTATCATACGGCGTAATCCCAAGATATTTTAGACACGCCAGGATGTTACCTTTTGAATGCACGCCTTTGCGGCCGTTTGCAAACGCCACCTTAGATGAAAAGATGATCACTAAAGTAGCAACCATTTTTGATTCCCCATGTCCTCATAAATTCAAAGATATCTTACTAAAAACATGCACAGTAGTGTTCTTTCATGTACTGATTCGGCAGCAAATTAGTTTCCCTTTAATTTTATGCTTGAAAAAGGAATATCCTCAAGTTTTATAAGAACCTTTCAATCCCCAAGTAATTGTAGCTCTGATTTGTCGTTGGATTTGCGTTTAGGGTTCTCAGAGCTGCATGCGCTCTGTGAAATGGCAGTCATACGTTGCTCTACGCCATTCAGAATGTGCCATACATAGCTCACAAAATACTCCATACATGTGGATTTATCTGAATACTTCTCCAGAAGTGATATTAAATAGACACTTACGATAATATGTGAATAGGCATTGTATGATTTTAAAAAAACCAAACGATGAAAACTTTTTAAAACAGAAGTGCATCCGTATTTCCAGCACGAACTTGGAAGAAGACAAGATTTGCCATCAAATTACTGCAAAACTAGTATATTCGGCATATTATCTATAAAATATATTCGAATTCAGAATGGCATCGACCTCGACAGAAGGGATACACACTATATGGGTAGTCATTTTCTGTCGACTACAAATTTTGCAGGCAGCCAAAATGAAGTGGGCACAAGAGCCAACATCCTGACGTTTCTGAAATATTGCAGGATTACGCCGCATGATGATTGGGCTCAAAACACCACTTAAGTAATTCCTCCTAATTGGAGCGGTACTTCAGAATTTTGGTTAGCAGTTCATGATATCGATCACTGACTGAAAGATAATGGAGAGCTACTTTCTCCCTTGCGGAGAGGCGATAAAAAGTGATCATAAGCAAAGTAGGAAGTTACAAAGAAAGAATATGCTTACGGTGGTTGTTGTTGGTTATTTGACCCTCTGCGTCCATCGCGGTATTATTCTTTTTTCGGTGCTTACGGCATTTCCGGCAATAGAGGTAATCGAGCATGCTTTCATATGCATTGACCACAGCGAGTCGCATTTTAAAAAACCAGCTGTCCTCCTCGTCGTCCTCATAGCCCTCTTCCTCACGCTTTCTCAAAAGTTCCAAGTAGTCTGCGTTGGAAATAACAGCAGCCATGATTTAGCAGATGTCAGTACACTTGAAGAGTTAGGAACGCATATCGCTAATCAGTCCTATAAACTGTACATTTTTATTTGAACAATCATGAAGACATTTTCTAGCCACCTTTTGTTTCAGGTCAACTGCACACAAGGTGAAACTTGGATATTTTTGTCATTATCATCTATATTAAAATTCATTTGCACAGTCATATCGAAGGTACGCTTGCAATAAATCATCGTGAATCAATGAAAAAAAAAGGTTGAACTTACTCAGAACCTTTTTCCGGAGGTAAGGAACCACCAGAAATTGAACAATTAAAGCTGTTAAGAGACCTGCCCCGATCGAAGCGACGAAAACAATCCAGACGGGAATTTTCAACTTTATAACTAGAAATGAAAAGCACGTCAGATTTAGAACATTTATAATGCGGCCAGTTTCTGAGGGAGGATGCTTGAAAATCAAATGAGTATCTGCATACAGTCATTCGTAATAGACACTAAAAGTATCACCGTGAGGACTCACTGGGAATGCCTCCGAATAAAACCGAGAACACATTCACTATGACTGTACAACCATATATAAAGGGGAGAGATCGCAATGCTGGTTCCAAGGGTCTTTCCTAAATTTTAGGCAGGAAAAGGTTGTTAGAGGTTTATGATAATGTAAACGCTAATTTAAAGGCAAGTGTTAAAAACAGGTTTACCTTTTTAAGAATAAAATGCTTGAAGAACATGAACATGAATACGGAGACAGCACCACTCAGAAGGGGTGAAATGAACCAGGAGAGAACTGAAGTAGAAAAACAATTTCAAATCATAAACAGGGCGCCATAGTTTTCCAAAAGAAACAGCGAGCACTCAGTGTCTTGAAGATATAATAGTTTGATGTGTAATCTTTAAGATTTTTAGGATCTTGAGCGCCGTTTTAAGTCCGAACTCGAAACTAAGAGTGTGCTCTTTATCCGATCAAAAAGGTCTTTGGGCCTATGAAAAATAAGATGCTTCGGTTGACTTTCGTTTTAATAAAAAAATGTCTCTTTTGATATAAATCTGTTTTAATGAATTTCTATATCTATCTGTCTGTAAGAGCCTTCTGTTGATAACATGGAACGAATGAATGGGGCTAATAAGAAACCGAACTTACACAGCCTGTGTTCAGAAGAAAATAAACAGTATAATAATAGCCATAATTAAATACAGAGACTTGCAGTTAAAATTCGCTGGGCCAGCATGCTAACTTTTTACATTAAGATGAAGAGCAAAGTAAGAACAAAAATTGGATGCCGAAGTACAATAGTTAAAAAACGTGAATAGAACTGGAAACGTGTGAACGCGATATTTACTAAATAATCCAACTTGATATTCAGATATTCTTATCTTGTATTTTTAATGTTTTCTGCAACTTAACTTTTATTACGGAAAACGTCATGTAGTAACGATTAGACGCAAAGTCTTCTGCGTCAGGAAATAGGCATGATTTTTAGAATTTTTATTTATGTACGCATTCCGCTTTTTGTCAGATGTGAAGAAAGACATGTTAAAGATGAATGGTCGTTCCTGATTAGAATTTCTCACCAATTTTTAGAACTCCCATCCACTTGATGCCGCTAATTCCAAACTCAATTAATCCGAAACCGAGTGTTGCCCCGACAATACTATGAGTACCGGAAACTGGTATCTTGAAGAAGGTTGCGACCAGCATCCATATACAGGCACCTGTAAGTTAAATAATTCGGTCATGCATTAATTTGAATGTTTGTATTACGCAACATTTTTGTAGTGAAATGCGCAAAGAAAAACTAAATTAAGGAGTCTAATTTGTCCCACGCCATAATTCTTCTTGATGTCGAGCGGAAACAAAACTAGTGAATGCGATGATGCGTTTTCAGAAGTGGTCCCTTATAAAGAAGGACGTCCACAAAACGCTTTTTGACAAGTGTGCGATAGCGGTGGAAGTGGCTAACCAAACGCTCACCTTGAAAATATGCTCAAAACACGACAGAGACTTGGGAACCATAACATATAAAAAGGTAAGACAATGAGATCTCAGTTTTTACAGCGAAAAGTTCTCCTAGAAACACGGCTATGTATGAATCCTCTGGAAAGTAGTGAAGATACATCACAGAGAGATTTCGACATCGCTGAGCTTCCCAGCGATAAAGTATTCTTATATATTTTGCTAATTAGAGTTGAGAAAACAACAATATAGAGCGTTGAAGAAAATAAGGGTTTGTCGCACTTTAACGCGCAGCCGAAGCAGCGGCATATTTTTGTGGCCTTAGAAGACAGACTTAATGTACCAGTCTTAAGCAACCGACCACAGCAAAATTATGAGACTAGGACTTTTTCCATCTTAATAATTAATTTTAATTTTTCAATAGTTATTTACGCCATGTACACCGTTGACCGAGTGTGAAAGGGCGCCAGCATGTGCTCTAAAACCGTTACTGGACACCATGCAAATGCTGAGTAACTTTTTGCTTTCGAACCGAAATGCTAGGTAGGGGAAAAGCGATATGTAAGGTCAACGTTCGAGGCTTACGGTGCATTGCAGTATCAGCTAGATGTTGTGCAATATTTCCAGGCCATTGAATTTTTTAACCAAATAATGACCAACTTCGGCAAGATGCAAAAAAGAAAACGCAAACACAAACTTAAATACAAGCAAGAATTTTCGTGCGTCAATTACGCCTAAATCAGTGTGGGAATCAGTCTTCGAGTAGATCGACAGCTGTTGAAACATTCTCTCCAACTGCCCACACAACATTGTATTCACTTTTAAATTTGAGTGAGTGGCCACAACAACGATTGTCACCTTCCTTCATGGGATGACTCATAAGCGACGATTTCGGCATCACTAGCATAGCAACATCGCCAACGACACAAATAACGCGAGGATCACAATTAATGTTGCTTCTGGTTATGAACATAAAACCTTTTCATTACTGCAGCAAAATTTACACTCAGTTATTGATAACGGTTATTGTTCACAGTTTCGGGGCTTCCAAAAATCAACTTACTGGCAAGCGAAGATACCTGGCCGTAGATGAGCAATCGTGGTCCATTGTCCGTATTGTTGAATAATGCGAGGTCGACGATACCTTCCCTTATTGTTTTTGATACATGACCCCCTAGTTGGCAATGAAGTCACGTAAGAAACGGCCAACATACCCAAAAGAATAGCACCAGAAATTTCGCAGACAGTAGCTAGAATGCATGCGCCCCGAAGACTCAGTACTTTGGATCCCACGCTTGTGCCAAAGGAATTCGCCACATCGTTGGCCCCTATCCCGAAAGCCAGCAAAAAGGCTATGATAAAGCCCACTACCACGAGCACAAGCTCTTGCTCTTCTAACATTTTGCACGGCTACAAATCAAAAATGAATAGTTTATTTAAATTTGTCGGCAACTACTATTAAGTAAAGAGCCGTTATTAAATAAAAACGGGACGAAGTGCAGACGTCCATCAACTAATTGTATAGCACTTTTCTAAATTGTGATAAATTGATTTTTTATATTCACGCATACAAGCCATCCGTTTCGTACAAAACAGCACGAGTTTAAGAACACATATGTGCTTCTTAAAAACAATACTATAAAATATCTCTAAAATAAAAACTTACAATGTACGAGCAAAATTAAGGTAAAATGACACAAGACTTAGCTTACTATCTTCATGGTTTGGTCTTGACAGATTTAAATAGCAGAAGTTCACGTCTGTCAAGAGCCTGCTATTCGTCCCCACAGAAACAGCCAATCAAATTGAAGACGGGCGTTGCACAGGTGGTGAGCCGAGTTTACTGTTAGTTCACTTAAACAAAAAAACCAAATCCTGAAAACTGCAACCATATTCTGTACAAACCGTACTTCAGTACGTGTCTTGCAGCCATTCATGCCCTTTTGGGCATTATTTGGCACCTGGTGAGGAGACTAATAGAAAGCGTGGATGTCAGTTCAGTTCACTTCAGTGTATTTGAAGAAAAGTATGTGCGTACCTTTAAAATCACTATTGGTTAAACGCAAAGGAAGTATATGTAGAAAGAAGACAGGAAGCAACATGAAAGAAATACAATGGGAATATCAAAACCTGTATCGATGAATATAGACTTTCGTGAGTTAACATTTGAACTCCGTTTGTTGATTAAATACAGCAGATGGGTGAGGCACACTCAAGATACAGTAAAAGTAGTAAATTTCTTAGTCTTCAAGCATCTTGGCGAATGCGAGCAGCGGTGTGCAACGTGGTCCCAAAATTTATAAATTTCATAAACAGAGGTTACTTAAATATTGGTAGTAGCATCGTCTTATCACTTAATTGTCCGTGTCGGCTAGCGAGACGGCTGCAGTCCGGCGGCATTGTGGTGCGCACTTCAATTTTGATTTAGTCTTTGTTTACAAGTGTCTACGGATCCCGACATAACAACGACCTCAGGAAAAAAAACATTCCATGCTGTAGCCACTCTGTTGGAGAAGAACTTTCGTGTGTCCAGCCGGGCACCAGCCACGCATACTTTGAGTGGATGGCCCCTCAGGTTAGTCCTGATCGCTACTCTTAACGGCAACCTCGACAAACTGCTGGTCAGTGACATGGACAGCTAGAGAGCGGCTGAGTAAAAAGCCTCGAATCCGCATCAGAAGCTTACCCCGCACTCCTTTACGGCTGAGTTTGTGCAGAAGGCGGTCGTGAAGCACACTGTCGAAGGCCTTTTTTAAGTCGAATTATACCGCATGCACCATGTGTCCTTTATCAACAGCCCGAGTCCAGTGTTCCAGACAGTAGAGCAACTTTGCCACACAGGATCTGCCTTTTCGTAAACCATGCTGGAAATCGAAAAGTAGATGGTTTTGTTCAAGAAACTGCATCAGCTGTTGCTTACATATTTCCTCCATAATCCTGCAGCAAATGGAGGCTGATCAGTCTCTTATTGTTCGCTGGGACCCGACTTCCGCCCTTATACAGCGGCGTAATTCATGCTGATTTCCCGTCGGGTGGCAGATGTCTGGTCTCGAAGGATGTATGGAAAAGTATAGACAGTGGTTTAGCCAACTCACCGGCGAGTTCATTCAACATCTTCGCCGGAATCTCATCATGACGTGGTGATGTTGATTCCCTTAGGTTCATCAATTCTATCAGAACCATGCCCTCAGTGAACTGAACGGTCTTCATCATTGTGGTGTCTTCGAAGTCACTCGCCGAAGAGTTGAATCCTGTTTCACTACTAAAAACAGACCGAAAAGTGTGAATGTGATCAGTTCTTGCTCTATTTTGGTAAGATTTTCGCCTTTAGTAGTCCTTGTTTGGTGTGCACTGCTTTATATAAGCGTAGAACACTTTAGGGTCCTACGCGGCACGGTTAAGCAGCTCCCGTTCGAATTCCCATCTAATTCTGTGGATAAGGCCCTCGACTCGATTTCTCTGAACTTTGTACGCACATATAAATGTGGAGCTCTTGTCAGAAGGCGGTTTTTTCCACAGTCTTCGCTTTTTATTCGCCTCATTCTTCAAGGCTTGCGTAAACCATCGAGGTCTGTTAGTTAACCTCTTACGTGAAAGCAGACAGTGGTTTGCAATGTGCCTGTGCAGCATTTCTCGGAACCGTTGTCAGTCTTCGAGTATGCTTCTAACAAATGCGGATTCCCACTCAATGCGTGCGATTTCAGCTTTCATTTGGTCAAAGTTACCGCATCAAAGGTTTCCTCTAACTGTCATAATTTTCGCAAGCATGGAAAAGAGCCAGTAATCCCATATTAGAACGAAGTGGTCACTTCTACTTAAGAGGAGCAGGCATGACACCTGATCAATGCTGTCCTGCTGTCAACTAGCCAACTGCTGATCAAGGCAGTTGGCCAGTTGACCTTCGCTTACTCTAGTTGGAAACGTGACGTATTGAGTGAGAAATAATTTCAGTGCCGTGTTCAGAAAACTCCCATCGAAGGTCCGTTCTCTGCTATTTGCATGGGTCGAGCTCCAGTAAATATGAGGCGCGTTAAAATTGCCCATAATCAGGGTATCTGGCCGCGTAGCGAACTTTTATAGCTCCGATAGCAGGCAAGCGTCGGTCATGTTGTCCCGTCTCGACGGTCGATAAACTGTCGCGACATCGAGGCTAGGCGAGCTCGGAACTTTAATAGCCAGCCAGATTGCCTCGGAAGTACTCGATTAATTAATCGGTTTTGTCTGATACATTTACTTCATTTTTCACATACGTGAGTACTCCTTCCTGACGCCCTTCCCTATCTCTTCCAAATATCTGGTAGCCAGACAAGGTCAACTCACGGTCGTCCACGTGTTTGGTCTATCAGTTTTCTGTTAAAGAGATTATGTCAGGGAATAGATCGCAGAAGTGGATCTTCAGCTCGTCGAACTTTGATAGAAAATTCCTGAAATTGGTGTATAATAATTTTAATTTCCGGCGGACGGAAGATGTGGTTACATTTTGGTTATCCCCTTCACTTAATATGTCGGCTGTGCAGGCATTCGGGCCTGACCTGTCCAAAGGAAGAGGAACGGGCACCGCTTTACTTGGTTGTTGTATATAATTAAATTGTCCTCCCCCGCTGAGCCTCTTCCTTAGTTCTAGAACTAGCTGATGACGTTTCAGACGTTCCGCTTGAGAGTAGTCTGTTTTAAAAAACACTCGGGTTGAAGTCTTTAATCCTAAATCGCCTGGAGAGAACGAGACTGGTTTGGTCGCTGTTGGTCAGCAAAACTTTAAGAGGCGGGGGGGCGGGTCGACACCAATGGATTATCTGCTTGTTTTCCAAGGCGGAAGGCTTTGATCACTTCACTTGCCTCCGTGGGTTCCAAAATATTATTAAGGAGACCTCGGAAGAGTTATGGGTCTTCCGAACTCCGCTCCTTGGGAGTATTTACACTTGATTCAGGACCCATGATATAAACGTCAGATCTGGTTAGGGAAAAATCAAAAGACAAGAGAAAAACTGCTGAAGGTAGAAGCCGTAATAAAGGTAAACCGGGCAATAGAGAGCTAGAGGCATATAATTTAACCGATGCAGCCACAGTTTTCAGCGACATTTACTTTGTTATATAAAGCACGTCATGTTTCGTACGCGTCTGACGACCAGCAGTAGACGATTTTAAAAAAGATCTACTGAAAAACGGCATTTTGCACTTTATTCGCCAACGGAAATGAGTGTGGATGTGAACAACTAGACCCGCATAGTTCACGATGGGGCAGCCAATATCAGATGTCTCAAGGTCTCACGTTCACTCCAGGCAAACTGAATGCCAGATGGCTGAATGTTTATTCCAAGTATGTGATTTTTTAAAGAATGCGTAGGCATTGGAAGATTTAATTATGAGACCCGAGTAAAGTTTCATAATGTGACGCATTAATCTGAATAAGGGGTCTGTTTGAGAAGGTCGCGTCCCAAACAGAACCTGACAATCAAGGGCGTAAACAATATTACCAAACGCAGCAAAAACGTGAAAGAAACAAATGTTGTTAAAAAACATTCTAGACGAGAAAATTCAACGAAACTAACAAACAATAAGCTGTGGTGCCCCTGGAACCACATTCGCATTATCATATAAAGTGTGCCTGTTTGCTTCCACTTCGATGGGCAGTAACAGTACAGGGAAAACATCAGGGGCAACTGGGCCCTTTTAAGGGAGACCGCCGCTCACCCTGTAAGGAGGAAGGGACCAGAAAATGTGCCCTAAACAAATGCTGGGAATCCACGCCATCTGCAGTCTGACCGTGACCTCAGTCGCAAAACTCACGGTTGAAACAATCAAGCAAGAAACAACACACACGCTCACT